AGGATTTTTTTTTAGAAATTTGAAAATTCCCCGACTTAAGCCGAAATGTAACACTCGACAGACTTTTTATCTGTGGACGGTAGTTTGTTACCCGGACAGAATCGTTAAGTCTTTACAATAAAAAAAAACTCTTGTTTTAGATATAAACTAAGATTTAAGTAAAGTGACATGTTTAATCTCTAGTTACAATTACGCTACACGACAGTGTAAACGGAGGTGAGTTTAACTGCGGGTAGTTTTTGCCTTTTATGACGTGGCTTCAGTTTTAATAGCTCTACGAGAAACTATTTTAATATTTCACGCCAATGAGCGGTGAATTTGTTGGCCACTTCTACAAACATGATTATATAGTACGTTGAAAAGTTGTCTGGCCTTTGTATATTTTTTGTCGACGGGTAAAAATTAGGATGTTATAACAAATACGACTTATACACTTAAATAAAAGACTTTAACGGTTTAAAACGCGAAATATATAAGTTACACTATTTACAAATTATTTTTGACCACTATGTCTCCGTGACCACGGCTGCTGCAAGGCATCGTAAACATCGGGCCGAAGTTAAAAGTCATTTTCAAATAAGTTTAACTAATATATCGCGTTTTAAACCGTTAAAGTGTTTATTTAAATGGGTACTACTCGCGTAAACTGTAGACAGTATTTAAAAATACTTTTAAAATAATTTTTACTAATTTATTTCGCGTTTCGAACCGTTAAAGTGTTTTATTTAATTGTGTACTACTCGCGTAAATTACAGACAGTATTAAACTTTAATATAGGTATATAAAAGTTCTAACTCATTGCTTGAAACACTGATGTACTGCTTCTGTACTTTTTAACGAGTTGCCTAACATTACGTTAGTCACGAGAGGTTTTGATTTGGTTTGATCAACTACTTGCCTGTAAAGGATTAGTGAAACGGACAGTGAGTTGTGTTCGCAGCGTGCCCCGCGGGGGAACAGGATTTTACTTTTTGAGATACTTAACATGTAATAGTAATATTAGCCTATAGTATGACAGAATCAGCAGTAATTAAACTAAAGGGGAAAACGGCGGGAGGTCCTGAGTTAAATTTTCGGGGAAACGCATTAAAAGCGATTTATTGGGTATGCCTACAGTTCATGTAGTTAAACAAACGCAGGATTGTGTCTCATGTGCCTTTGGGACAACAGAGTTCTACTTTTTTATAAACTAAATACGTATTTTTGTTAATCAAAAATCGTTTTTAGATTTTAAAAAAATCACACTGTTCCGTGCTGTGTGCTCTTACCAGCTCTACCGTATCTCACACCTCTTCGTCGATTTTTTCAACCTATTGGTACATGAAACTCTTGCGCAATATCACTATTTAAATTAAAAATCGAATTAAAATGAATATTTTCATTCTAAATATTTTTTAAACTTAAGAGCTAAACTTTTATCTCCGTCGCCTTAGAAGGCACCTTATATTTTCTATTCCAATAAAAGATAATGGAAGCAGTTCAAATTATTATTTCGAACCGAACTAAAAGCTGCCATAAAGCCCCTCTCTTTATGGTCTATAAAAGTTTTAAATTCTCCATCGCTTTAAAGCGCTTGTTTTTGTTTATAAACTTAGCGCTTCAAGCATTGGAAAGTGCGATAATTTTTAGAACGCGATGAAATTGCGAAGTTTTATGTCCGTAGTAACATTAATATGGAAAAATAGCAAGCTGTTAAATTGTTTTAATGCTTTCGAGGCATTGTTTTGATGTCTTGCTTGACTGCTACGATATTTCGTTGTTTACGTCTTCTACTCGTCGTTCTACTGCGCAGTTATATTTATTGTAAGTAAATTAAGTATTTATTACGCTAGTAGTAAACATTATAATATAAAACGCAAAATACAACGATTACTTAAAATAATATTTAAATAGGGTCTGACGTTTCGGATGCTTTGCATTAGCCGCGGTCACGGGGAGACTAAAGATGGTGGCTGTCTCTAATGTCAAAGTAAAAACTGCTACGCTAGCGCCACATTTACCGTCAAAAACTTCCACGTCCTTCCTGAATTGACTAACGGTGTCATCGTGTTGACCGGTATGCTGTTTTTTGGATTCCAGAGTTTTTAATATGGGATCCCTGGCGTTTACCTCGAGGCACTATTGATTGAATTTTCCGATACTTTTACAAGCTTGGTCTTGGGGATCGAAGTTTCGAGTTGATGTTAAAAATCAATTAATTAATATATTTTGAGTTTAAAACTGTTTATTTAATAAGTAGGTTTTTAAAACGCTCCATTCTTTTACCTCGTTCGCATGTCAATACACCGCTAAAAGCTTAATACAAAAAAATATTAATTTTTCTGAAACATCTTGTACGTTTGCTGTGAAGTTTAATCGCGGTTCCATTTCAGTCTATGCAGTTCCGATTATACAAATCTAAAATATGACAACTGCGAATCTTGTTTAGATGATATTTCAAAAATATATATATAATTGAAGTACATAAAATTAAAGGTAATAATTTTTCCCCTAACATAAAATGTAATTAGATATTCGCTGTAAAAATTAAAAACAAATGCCCGTTAACAACATCACTTAATATAACTTGAGAAGCAGTAACTACATAAACTACTGCAATCCGTGCAGTTTAATTTAACTACTTAAACAAAGAACTTAGGAGAATTCCCCCGTTTCTTTAAGTAGTTAAACTATGATGAATCGTGTACAGTAGACAATTAAATAACTGGAGCGTAAAATGTTCAATTTAGCTCCGAATGTAAGGAAACTCAATTAGTACGAGTCAGGAACAGACTATCAATCTGGTTGTAGTATATAGAATTTATAGTGGGGAAAGAAATGTCAGTTGAAAATATTTATATTATTTCCAGTTAGCTGCAATGTCTGAATCTAAATCTGAATTACATTTATTTATTTACTGATCTGCTTGCGATAAATTATATTCATACAATTATTTATAAACATTCAGAGTACCTGATAAATGAATTTTACAATTATAGGCAAACATGTCATTCACCAAAAGACTAAAACTAAAACATAATTATGTACGTAATTAAGAAGAACGAAAGAATGATTACTCAAATAATACTACAAAGAAATTGCATAAAGTTATCTTTTCACATACCTTTAAACAAGAATCCGACTTATTTCGACGACAGATTATTTGAATTATATATATAATAAATCATTATTTTTGTGATGTATAAATGTGGGTAGTTTACAAAATGTTTAAAATAATGTTCGTAATATTCGATGACGTCCGTCTAACACTTGGTCGGTTGTTTGTGGATTGTTATAAAAGGGGGTGCGCTGTAAAGCGGGTAGGCTATATAAATAAAAATCTAACAAACGCATGTTTGAACAAACACTTCTTAACTAATTGTAATTTAATCTTGCACTATATATTTAAAATTGTTTACATCAAGTATAATGTATGAAAATGAAAAAACACTTCTAACGACTTAAAACTCGTCGTATATAAATAAACTTATTCACAATCTTTTTTGCCGCGCGACGCTTCAGATGCTTTGCAGTAACCGTGGTAACAGGGCGACTAATAAATTATGAGTTTTAAACTGTTAAGTCTCTATTATGTTGTCCTCACTGTAAGTTTAGTGGCAATGTAGTCGCAATGAATGTTTTCGCTCCTTCATCCCACAGATAGTTTTCGTTGTAAGTTATAATTAAAACGTTTTCGAAGAACAACAGGAATGCGCATTTAATGATTCAAGTTTTTCAAACTATTTTTCATAAACATATATCTATACTAATATATACAGCTGAAGAGTTTATTAGTTTGAACGCGCTAATCTCAGGAACTACTTTCGAATTGACTTTTTTTTTGTGTTGGTTAGAACATTTATCGAGGAAGGTGCTATAAAACATTGTGCTCTGACTAATTGGAGCTAATATGCAACAGCAAAAATGTAGAGAAAACGGGGGAAATTAATTATAGATGCGTACGCTGCGAAAACGGTTCAAGACAACCAAAAAATATCTATAAAATAATGATTCCTCTTTAAAGAGTCAAGCAAGAACGACGGAACCCGACCGATGTCGCGGGTAATAGCTTAAATGCAGTGCAAACAAATTTAGATGTTCAAAATACTACTATTCGACGCAGGCAAAGTCGCTGGCGTAGCTAGTAAAATTATAAATTTGCATTAGTTCTAACATCAATCCTTGTTTAATACAAAGCCACAAACAAACATACATGCAAAAGTAATTTCGTTAATTGTATATAATATTTCCATTTTTTTTTTACCAAATAAAACACGTAATTTTCAAATATATAAAACTTTTAAGTACTTGAAAATTGAACTGGAAATTTAATTGAGTCAAGTGCAGACGATCCATCAAGGAAAGCGTTTTCGCTATGTCCCACTTTGGGAAAACTTTATCATTTCGACCAGAAATTTAAACAAAACAGTCAACAGATTTGTTTGTTTTTCAAGTGTATTTAAATGACACATTCTCGCTAACGATAAATGTTGAAAAATGTAATAGAGCAAACAAATCTATTTTAACCAAGATAGCGAAAGTAAGGGGTTCGAGTCCTGTCACATGAATTTTTACAAAGAAAGTAAAAATGTTTACGAGACCCCGTGACCACGGCTGCTGCAAAGCATCCGAAACGCCGGGCCGAAGTTAAAAATCATTTTCAAATAAGTTTAACTAATATATCGCGTTTTAAACCGTTAAAATGTTTTATTTAAATGTTTACGAAACTGATTTTCAATCATTTGTCATGTGTCAATCAAATGTTATAAATAATATTCAATCTAGACATTTTTTTGTGTTTGTTTCGCTGCTCGATTTTAATGATGGGCAAACTTCGAATGGATTAACATTTATTAAACTTAAACTCGGATTAATTTAACTTATTAATTGTGTCTCAATTGTCAAAAGTCCCGCCTATGTCGTACTTTTTTAAATCTAAATTATTAATATTTATTAAGAATTACAATATCATTGTATTCGGCTTCGGATTTCAATTGTAATAAATAATGTTCATCTTTCAGAATGTCAATATCCCACGAGCCAAACGCAACATATGCTGAGCTGGTGATCACCAATGTGAAGGCCGATGATGAAGGCGTCTATCGTTGCGAGATCACGTACCTTCAAGTTGGCGAGGATTGCAACACCGTCCAGGTCACAGACTTCCATACTTACAGTAAGTTTTTCTTCTATTGACCTATAAGCCTTAGGCTATAAAACATCGTGCATAGAGCGAAGAAACAGCGCGATGTGAAAAAAAATGGGAAAATTACTCATTGTGGGTTTCTGATGTCGAAAAATATGTATGAAAGAATGATTGTACTTTCAATGATTTAAAAAAAGTCGCAAAATTATTTAAAGATGAAGAGAAGCTTTGCAAAAAAAATTGGATGGTAGGAATATTTAAATTCCGTCCAGGTCACGAATTACCACGAGCAGACGAAAAAACCGTCCGAATTTCCGAATATACAAAGCCAAAATCGGTCGACATTACATCTTGTATGGCTGAATTGTTTCACCTACCATCAAGTAAACACCAAGCTAGTCTGACCTCTTCTATTATAAAAACGTAACCTTCTATTCTAATACTCTCCAAAATAAAGTAACGATATTTTCCTCAATAAATATATTCCCAGGAAAAAGTGGATGAAACTAAATATATAAATAAGCTAATTCACAGCGCGTATTATGAAGGACAATAACCGGTCGCATTGAAACAAATCCGGTTTAGTGATGTTCCTTTTAATATTATCATCTGTTATTTATCGTATTTTTTACATAAGTATAACGTAGGATAATGTATACAAAGAGTAACAATTCTACGGCCTTATAAAATAATATTTAGAATTTAAAATTGCTATAAAATTGTTTTAACGTCATAATTTATAATTTAAAATATTGATAAGAAATATATTATCAGAAAAATACTTTAATTTTGGTAAATATGCGTAATAACTGTATTTTGTTTATTTGAAAGTAAAAAAAACATAACTTGTGTAACTGATTTGTACAATGTAAATTACAAATAAGTCATAGGTGACGTGAATTAAACTGTTAAAAATCTTGATAGTTATATTAGTGATGAATTCGAATTACGTACCTTTTCCTACGTTTGGGCATTTTGTCCTGATATTCGTTCTTTCAAATTAAAATAAAGTAACAACAACAACAAACAACCACATACATAAATTTTAAATACAAAGATTGTTTTACATTTATGATTCACTTTTGATTATATTTATAATTTACAATAGCTTATTTGTAAGTACATCACTAATATAACCGTTTTATTGCGACTAGAATATTACTTTCATCCCGCCCGAAGCGGTTCAATTCTATCGAGGTGCTATTATTATCCTATCCAACATCTATGCTTATTTGTCAAAGTGATTTTTGGTTGCTTTATATTTCTAGTTTTATCAAAATTATTAATATTATATTCGTTTTAACAAGGCCTTCTCTCACAGATAGATAGTTTTTGGTACTACTTATTATCTGATAAGGGACAGACTGAAAATCAGCGCTTAGCAAGCCTTGCTGAGCACAAGCTGAGTCTATTACCTTTCAGTACAAAGTTTAAAATTGTACTTTTTACTTTATTTTTCATTCTTTTCATAGTAAATTATGTATTTTGTGTAAATTAAAGAATTATTTATTTATTTAAATAAAAGGTGTAAGACTCGTAAGACACTATTCTGCTCGAGAAAGAATCGGCGTGGACATCGGCGTACTGAGAGTTTTTTTGCTCTCTGAGACTTGGCCGGCACTGAATATTTATAAAAAATCTAAATACAAACTAATTTTTGAATATTAGATATCAGTACTCGTTTTGCGTATCGGAAAAATAATCACTGCATATGTAACAAGCAATGGACAGCATTCACTTAGAAAGCTACACCAAAATCACATTTATTCGTAAAGAATAATGGATCCTTGTCGTCCACTCGAGATCGGACCTTATTTAGAACTCTTGTCACACTTACTCTCTGTAATTTAATATAGACACGCGTACGCCGTGATTTTCTCTCAATGTTAGAATAAAATGGTTATTTTGAATTCACTTTTTATTCTCAACCTTTGTGTTAGCTATACTTATGACAAAAAAAAACAAGAATGAGATGCAGTGCTCTAGCTCTGGAACAGTAAATATGGATGAGTTGTCGGCCTATGACAAGAAGTTTGTTCATCACAAATCGTAACGCAATTTACAATACAATTTACTCTAAAGTTATTTTCATTTGTTGGCAGTAGTTCTTAACTTAGATGGAATTTCGACATTCCCACTAATCGAGGGTTGGTGAAGGACCAGGGGCCGACAAATTTGTCTCTATTTCGCAGACAGTTTTTATTTTACATGCAAGTCCAATATGCACCGTGTGCGATGAAAATATTTATTATGTTTCCCCAGAATTCAAACCCAGGTCCTCTCGGACTTAATGCAGTATTGCACCAATAACGTTATGTAACGAGTTCAACAAATAAACTACAAAAGCGAACAATCGAATACCTTATAATAGTCTAAGTAGCAACATGCCCCGGATTGCACGAGAATTATTTTGAAGTCATTGTTATTTTCCTAATATTTTGGTTTAGATTTTTATCTTTTGTCTCGTGATATTGTCCCTTACTTCTTAATTAACCCCTCCAGAATCCCTTGTCGCGTTTTTATCAGTGGCTATTTGAATACATTTTTCAAATGAAAATAACTTATGTCATTACTATTATAATTACACTTATGTTGTTTTGAAATTTTTTGTAGATGTGTAATGTAAAATCGTAGTATATTATTTTGTTCTATAATCAATAGTTTTTAGAGCGCACACGTTGCAAGGAAGTATTTTGGTAATTTTGGCATACTTTGGGTTACATTACTGAAGTTTTAATATAGTCTATTGACATCGAAAATAGTGTAGATTTACAAATCGGTCGAGAAGTTTCAGCCTATCAATTTCATGCAGATTTCCTCTTTATAATATAATGGTATTTAAAGAAAACACTTTAACGCTTTAAAACGCGATTATTGTACAGCAGCCGTGGTCACGGAAGACTCCCCCCCCCCCCAATTCATCCAAAGCGTCTCGGGCCGTAGCTAAAATAACGTTCAAATAAGTATTTTAAACCGTTATCGTTTTATTTAAATGTGTACTACTGGCGTAAACTTTACAGTATTTAATATTAATGTAGATAACATAGTGAGTTTCAAATCACTATTGAATAATTCGAAGATTTATACAAGTAACTAGTGAGTGTAACCCGCAAACGGCCGGCCGCGGTTTATTCTACCACAGTTTGTAACTAGGGTTTGATTAATTAGAAGTACGTTCCAGCTTGGTGACAATAACTTTACTATAGAGATACTATATATACTATTAGAGCAAAGTGCTATATCTCCTTTTAATGCCATAGATATTTTATTAAGTGTTTATAAAGCTGAAGAGGTTCTTTGTTCAAGCGCGCTAATCTCAGGAACTTCTGGTTCTAATTAAAAATATACTTTAGTGTTGATTAGACCAATTATTAAGGACGGATTTCGGCTAACTAACTAATAGGAGCGAAGAAATACAAGTAAATGTTGAGAAAATCGGAAAAAAAATCATCATCAAAAACATCAATCTCCAAAGTAGTTTAAGATTCTAAAACATATGTATAAAAGAATGATTCCTTTTTAAATTATCAAAAAAATGTCCGCGACAATGTATATATGTTTAAATAAAACACTTTAACGGTTTAAAACGCGATTAGTTAAACTTATTTGAAAATGATTTTTAACTTCGGCCCGAGGTTTCGGATACTTAGCAGCAGCCGTGGTCACGGGGAAACTCCCCACTAACTAATATTTTGCATTTTAAACCATTAAAGTGTTTTATTTAAATGTGTACTACTCGCGTAAACTATAGACAGTATTTAATGTATATCTATCTTTTAAGATTAACTTTGCAAAGACCGATGGGTCGCGGACGACGTCGTGGCTAACAGCTATAGTTCATAAAGATGAGGAAGAGGTTTGCAAAAAAATAATGATACTCAAAATAACTATTCCACGCGGTCGAAGTCGCGGGCATGGCTATATGATATTTTTATTAAATAAGCATTATTAATATATTGTTAGAAATAATATTCAAAAATTTAAATAAATGTATTACTTGAAGCACTTGTTAATGTATTCTCCTTTATGGTTATTAGGAGATCACTTAAAATACATTAAAATCAGACTTGAGGCCAATTGAGGACGCCTTTTGGCACTTGATTAAACACAGATTGAGCATTTTATACAATTTACATATAAATGCAAAATTTGTGACCTCAAAACATAAGGCGGTATATACACAAGCGTGAAGATTGTTATTTTAATTTTGACGGGTAACGGTAACAATGTGTGTATAACAATCTCCACCGGATCTAACATTCTAATTTGTAATTTTTTGGACTTCCTCCGAAAATCTGGATATTAAATGTTGTAGGATTATCAAAATTCCGTCCGGGTCACGAACTGCTATCCACAAATTAAAACGCGTTTCGGTTTCAGTCTGTGGATTGTAAAATATCCAAAGCCAAAATGGGTCGACAACACATCTTGTTTAGATGGTTTATGACTGAGGTATTTCAGCTTACGTGAAGGAACTTTTTTATCATTAAAAACATTTTTTTTTCTTGTCACAGATTAAATTTATACTAGTGAGCAGTAGATTTGGTATTGTGCTCTCACTAATGAAAGCATTTACTGTTTGCCCGTGAATCAAACCCAGGTCTATTCGCTTAATGCAATGCCAGAAAATACAGATAGAATCTGACTTCCTAACTCCATAGTTAACAAATACGTGTTTAAATATTTCGTGGAAAAGACACTAATTTAAACATTTTTTTATTTAATCTATGTCTTTCAAATCTTTTTTTTATAATTATAAAAACTTCATTATTCTTGTAATTGTTTTTGCGAGTCGCCAACAAATATAGATCTTTAAATCTCACAATATTAGTTCTGTGATCAAAAAAGTTTTTGAATACAAAAAAGGGACAAGAAGGTTACTTTTTGAAGAAACTTCACTACAAGAGGAAAGCTAGTTAACACAATATTGTCTTCTTCATATTCCGTTAGGAATATTGAACACTAAAAGCGGTTGATGCATTTCTTGTCTCGCTATTTTTCACACGAAATTCTTTAATGTGGGAAAAGCC